ATATATTTTCGTTCGATTTAAGGTAAATGGTGTATCAAAGTACCTATATATGTTTCGATTTGCACGAAAGTTGGCATAGCGTACTGAATTGATACTAGAATGATGTGTGCAAAGTTTCGTGCAAATCGGTTCAGATTTAGATACAGCTCCCATATATATTTTCGTCCGATTTAAGGTAAATGGTGCACCAAAGTACCTATATATGTTTCGATTTGCACGAAATTTGGCATAGCGTACTGAATTGATACTAGAATTATGTGTGTTAAGTTTCCTGGAAACCGGTCCAGATTTAGAAATAGCCCCCATATATATTTTCGTCCGATTTAAGGTAAATGGTGCGCCAAAGTCCCTAATTATCTTTCGATCTGCACGAAATTTGACACATCGTAATTAATTATGTCTAGAATGATGTGTGTTAAGTTTCGTGCAAATCGGTTCAGATTTAGATATAGCTCCCATATATATTTTCGTCCGATTTAAGGTAAATGGTGCACCAAAGTACCTATATATATTTCGATTTGCACGAAATTTGGCATAGCGTACTGAATTGATACTAGAATGATGTGTGCAAAGTTTCGTGACAATCGGTTCAGATTTAGATATAGTCCCCATATATATTTTCATCCGATTTTAGGTAATTGATGCACCAAAGACCCTATATATCTTTCGATTTGGACGAAATTTGGCCTAGCGTACTGAATTGATACTAGAATGATGTTTGCAAAGTTTCGTGACAATCGGTTCAAATTTAGATATAGTCCCCATAAATATTTTCATCCGATTTAAGGTAATTGGTGCACCATAGACCCTATATATCTTTCGATTTGGACGAAATTTGGCCTAGCGTACTGAATTGATACTAGAATGATGTTTGCAAAGTTTCGTGACAATCGGTTCAGATTTAGATATAGTTCCCATAAATATTTTCATCCGATTTTAGGTAATTGGTGCACCAAAATCTCTGAAAATCATTCGATTTGCACGAAATTTGACATAGCGTTCTGAATTAAGGCTAAATCGACGCGTGCTAAGTTTTGTGAAAATTGGTTCAGATTTAGATATAGCTCACATATATATTTTCGTCAGATTTTATGTAATTCAATGTCCCAATATATCTTTCGATTTGCACGAATTTTGGTATAGTGAAAAGATCCATAGTAGGCCGATTTACACAACGTACTGATGTAATATAAATTTGTCTCTGGCAAGTTTCCCTAAAATCGGTTCAGATATATTCTACATATGTTAGGATACGTATAATATACCCAATGTGGTGAAGGGTATCATATAGTCGGTCCCGTCCAGCTATACTACTTTCCTTACTTGTTTTTTGAGTTTTTGTTTTCGAGTCGATCTATAGGCCACAATTGAAAACCGAACATCACAACACAACCCACGGTGAATTGAATCTGGACAAATAATTACAAGAGCTATACTGAATATTAGTAATTTTTCGGAAAATATGTCAGTGTAAGGAAGAGGTACTGTTGACCTCTAGTCGGTGAAGAGGGTCCAACTATCGCAAAATATTACCAAAGCTCAGAATATAGAACCACAAAAAGTTCGATTTTCGTGGAAGTTTTGTAGGATATCACATGGTCGGCCCGTCCGACTATACTGGGTTTTTAAAATACTTTTCCATGATCCCAAAATAGGCAGGGATTTTTTTAATATTATTTCATGATACCAAAATAAGCGTAAATTTTTTTTTAAATATTCTGTCATGGTTCCATAATAGGCGTTGAAAAATATTTAAAATATTCGTTCATGATGCAACTTCAAAATTTTGTTTTGAAACCTTTTGAGTTTATTTCCCTAAAAAAAAAATAAATTCATTTGGTCACCAATACACCTCTGTTTGCGTGTATTATTTTCCAATCTCGACACATACACACAAACCTCACTTACTCTCAACAAATGGTGGCGCTTTGATTTTCCACAAAATTATCTCTGGTTGCAAATAGCAACAGCAACAACAACACCAACAGCTGTACAAAATCCATTTATAATTCAAATCTAAAATGAACAACAATTTGTTAAAAGTCATTGTAGTGTATTTGACACGAGTGGCTCGAATAAATGGACGGACGGACAGTCAGTCTGTCTGTCGGTTATCATGTTTTTTCCATAAATATTTTAATATAAAAGGATTTGTAGTGGTAGTCTGTGAGACTTGACGATGAGTCCTCCACTGATGACTGTGCTCATAATAATTGTTTTACCCCGCAATGCAACAGCAACAACCACAACAACAACAATAAACTGTCATTGCCATGGATACACTGTCATCAACATCATTGTCCTCTCATCCACAGCAATATCAACAACAACAACATCATAATAATCCTATCAGACACATTTCTGCCTCTTGTCAGGACCATTCCCCATGCAGAGATGGCTTAATGGGGTATTTTGTTGTGGTCGTTGTTTGATATTTATAAACCGCCCGTCTATGTTCAAATTTCGAAATGCGTTGCCTAGAACCAATAATGGTCACATTTTGAAATTTATATTGAATGTTGATGTTATAGCGGCGTAAATGACCTGCAACAGTTCTGGTTGATGTTATGAAGTTATATCAAGTGATTTGTCAAACGCAATTTAAATGTGAACGAAATGGTTTGTTTGTTTTTTGTTGCAGGTTTGTTTGTTTGTTTTTGTTATCTTGTGGATAATGCTGCTCAAATATGGATCAACAGGATGGGAATGCAATTAAAATATTTTTAAAAATATCCACGTCAAGGATCTCCTTCAGTATATATTTTTTTATAACCTTCACCACACTGTGGTACAGGGTATTATATCTTTGTGCATGTGTTTGTAATAGGAAAAAATAATCGGGATATACCCATGGTTCCTTTTGAGAATATGCATAGAATCACTTTCTGAGTCGATGTATGCATGTCCGTCCGTCCGCCAGTCTGTCCATGTTAAATTGTAAACGCAGTACAGGTCGTATTTATTATTCGAATTGGATGAAATTTGGCACAGCTCATTTGTTTGGCCCAAGGACGAACCCTATTGAAATTGGGAAAAAATCGGTTCGGATTTAGATATAGCTCCCATATATATTTTCGTCCGATCTAAGGTAAATGGTGTACCAAAGTCTCTATATATCTTTCGAATAAGATCTAGAATGATGTGTGTTAAGTTTCGTGCAAATCGGTTCTGATTTAGATATAGCTCCCATATATATTTTCGGCCGATTTTAGGTATATAGTCCACTAAAGTCCCTAGAAATCCTTCGATTTGCCCGAAATTTGGCATAGCGTACTGAATTAAGTCTAGAATGATATGTGCAAAGTTTCGTGTGAATCGGTTCAGATTTAGATATAGCTCCCATATATAGTTCCGGCCGATTTTAGGTAAATAGTCCACTAAAGTCCCTAGAAATCTTTTGATTTGCCCGAAATTTGGCATAGCGTAATCAATTAAGTCTACAATGATGTGTGCAAAGTTTCGTGAAAATCGGTTAAGATTAAGATATAGCTCCCATATATAGATTCAGCCGATTTTAGGTAAATAGTCCACTAAAGTCCCTAGAAATCTTTTGATTTGCACGAATTTTGGCATATCGTACTGAATTAAGTCTAGAATGATGTGTGCACAGTTTCGTGAATATCGATTCAGATTTAGATATAGCCTCCATATATAGTTTCGCCCGATTTTAGGTAATTGGTGCACCAAAGACCCTATATATTTTTCGATTTAGACGAAATTTGGCATAGCGTACTGAATTGCGGCTATAATACTGTATGCTAAGTTTCATGAAAATCGGTTCAGATTTAGATATAGCTCCCATATATAGTTTCACCCGATTTTAGGTAATTGGTGCACCAAAGTCTCTTAAAATCATTCGATTTGCACGAAATTCGTCATAGCGCACTAAATTAAGTCTAGAATGACGTGTGCTAAGTTTCGTTTCGGATGAAATTTGACACAGCTTACTTGTTTGGCCCAAGGACGAAGCCTATTGAAAAGGGGAAAAATCGGTTCGGATTTAGATATAGTTCCCATATATATTTTCGTCCGATTTAAGGTACATGTTGTACCAAAATCCCTATATATCTTTCGAATAAGGTCTAGAATGATTTGTGTTAAGTTTCGTGAAAATCGGTTCAGATTTAGATATAACTCTCACATATATTTTCGTCCGATTTAAGGTAAATGGTGTACCAAGGTCCCTATATATCTTTCGATTTGCCCGAAATTTGGCATAGCGTACTGAAATAAGTCTAGAATGATGTGTGCAAAGTTTCATGAAAATCGGTTCAGAATTAGATATAGCTCCCATATATAGGTACACCCGATTTTAGGTAATTGGTGCACCAAAGTCTCTTAAAATCATTCGATTTGCACGAAATTTGTCATAGCGTACTGAAATAAGTCTAGAATGGCGTGTGCTAAGTTTCATCAAAATAGGTCTAGATTTAGATATAGCTCCCATATATATTTTCATCCGATTTTAGGTAAATAGTGCACCAAGGTCCCTATATATCTTTCGATTGGCACGAACTGTTGTACGGGGTACTGAATTAAGTCTAGAATAATGTTATATAGACATATAACAAAAGCGCGGCGTCTGTTAGGATACATATATAGAATATACCCAAAGTGGTGAAGGGTATCATATAGTCGGCCCAGTCCGACTTTACTACTTTCCTTACTGGTTTCTTTTCTATGCATTAAATTTATTTCCTTTAGAAATTTGTTCTAAAATTTATGTGACACTTAACAGCCAATTTTCGCCAACCTGTGAAAATATTTTTTTCTATAATTTATGATGCACCAAAATCCCATTGTAATTTGCCCTAGTGCTCCCACCACATGGCTCATAACTTAGCCTACTTTACCATCTAGGCAGGTTGGCTGACACAGGCAAATACAAAAAAAAAAAACTCTGCAATTTTCCATTGTCAGGTCATACTTAATTTTTTCTGCCAACACTTTCTACTTTCTCATTCTCCCTTTTGTTTCCTTTTTCTTTTTGCTTTTTGCAGAAAACAAATTATCCGACCAGGAAGCATTGGAGGAAATACGACAACTCAGCGTACAACTGCAGCGTATACAGGAAATGGCTCCACCCAAGGGTGTGGCGGTAATGACAATATCCAGTCTGCTGGATGGCCTGAAAACACCCGGCAGCATGGTCATGGTTGCTGCTGCCGCATCACAGGCCGTATCTGGCGGTGGAAATCAATTAACCGTACGACCCAATAAACCGGAAGCACTGCCCTTGCTGTCGTTGAACAGCGAAATGCAGAAATATGCACAAATGCAACAGCAACAACAACAAAAAACCAATAACAATGTTGTCCAACAAGCCGTTGTGCCGTCCACAAAGATAACAATGGCCACACCGTCAGTGACCACTGCATCGCCCAAGGATGTTCAGGTGGTGGTGACGGCGACAGCCACGACAACGGCTCCCATAATCTCCGAGAAGGCCATAAATACTGAGCTGAGCGGAAATTGTGTGGCCGAAGAGGAGTTGAAACAACAACATATCATATGCGAACGATGCTATGAACGTTGCCGGTTGGATGGTCATCCTCGGCAGGGCAGCTCAACACTAAGTAAATGTCAGCTATTGGGGTCGCCACCCCACGAGGGTAGCCTCACATTTAAGGATATTAAATTGGAGTGTATGTGTTCGCAATCGGATGACTTGGACCAGCTGCCCACGAGAAGGGTGGCTAAGCGAACTGCAGCCACCAATACCCCACCACCGGCGGGGGGTTATAGGGGAACGCGTAAACCCAGTACGCGTCATCATCGCCACAAAGATGCCAAAATGTTGAGTAGTTCCAGTCTGCCGTGTGAGGATAGCAGCAGTGCAACAACAACGACGACAACAGCAACCACAACAAATCAAAAATTTAGTTATTTAAGTCAAAAACAAAAACAACTGCAGCAGCAACAACAACAACAAAATGCACAACAAAAACAACAGCCCATGATATGTGATAACTGTAAAATAAAATTGAAGAAAAATCAAAGCGGCAAAGCCTCCTCCACCAGTACCACCACCACCTCCAAACAGCATAGAAAACTAAGTAGACTAAGTTCCAAATGTAGCAAACTGCTGAGCGACATAGAAAAATCCCAGCAGATTTCCAAGAGTGCCACAGGTGCTGCCATCACTTCGCAGCGACCATCGGAAACAGGCGAAACAAGTTCCATACAAAAACAATATTCCACCGATGATATAATATTCTACACAACCACCGATACGAGTACGAGTGAGGACGACGACGATGATGACGAGGACGAAGACGAAGAGGATGATTATGGTGAAGAAAATGATGAGGATGATGATGATGGCAATGTTTTGCATCCTGAAGATGATCTGGCGGGCGAATTACCTTCCAAACTTTTTGCCGATGACTCCTCGAGTTTATCGCAAAGTAAAAGTGAATCCAAGGTCGCCACAAACAATCAAGGCAGAAATGAGGAAGAACTGCCCACAACGGAAGATTTTAAAATCATATCACAATCTTTATTTAACATAACCACGAGTAGCAGTAGTTCGCCCAAACGGACAGCTACAGCGGTCACTTCTGCAGGAAATCCAAATAATGCCTTATTAGACGCAAAAACGTCACGAGCAACAACCGGTACGGCTGCCAGTTCGAGTAACACCACACAGCAGCCAACCGCCACCACCACCGCCAATGGTAATGGCAAAACGAAACGACCCGATAAATTGGTCCTGAATTTAAATGATCGCTCGAAATTCACCAAAGAAGTATCCGTTTGAAAGGATCACCTTAATAATATTTGGTTTCAATTGTTATAAACGATGTAAGGTATTTTTGTTGTTGTTGATTAGTTTTAGATTTGTTGTTGTTATTAATTATTAATTTTAGTATTTTTTTTAGAAAAAAAAATGGATTTTAAATTAAAAATAACTTAAAAAAATCGGAATCGCATTTTCCTCAAAAATTGATACAGGAAAAATATGTTTTTTTTTTCAAATCCGAAAATTGTTCTTCCATGTTTTAAAAGAGGATATCCAGGACAGTTAAAAATGTTGCCAGATTCCGGACTTATTCATTTGGGCGCCATTTTTGTATATGTTTGTAATAAGCAAAAAAATCGAGATAGACCCATGGTTCCTTTTGAGAATATACATAGAATCACTTCCGAAGTCGATTTATGCATGTCCGTCCGTCCGTCCGTCCGTCCGCCCTGTCCATGTATTCTTTTGAACACAGTACATCGCATTTATGATCCGAATTGGATGACATTTTGTACAGCTCGTTTATTTGGCCCAAGAACAACCCCTATTGAAACTGGTGAAAATCGGTGCAGATTTAGATATAGCTGCCATATATAGTTCCGCCCGATTTTAGGTAAATGGTGCACCAAGGTCTCTATATATCTTTCGATTTGCACGAAATTTGGTATGGAGTACTGAATTGAGTCTAGAATGATGTGTGCTAAGTTTCGTGAAAATATGTTCAGATTTATATATAGCTCCCATATAAAGTTTCGCCCGATTTTAGGTAAATGGTGCACCAAATTCCCTATATCTCTTTCGATTTGCACGAAATTTCGCATATCATACTGAATTAAGTCTAGAATGATGTGTGCTAAGTTTCGTAAAAATCGGTTCAGATTTAGATATAGCTCCCATATATATTTTCGCCCGATTTTAGGTAAATGGTGCACCAAAGTCCCTATATATCTTTCGATTTGCGCGAAATTTCGCATATGATACTGAATTAAGTCTAGAATGATGTGTGCTAAGTTTCGTAAAAATCGGTTCAGATTTATATATAGCTCCCATACATAGTTTCGCCCGATTTTAGGTAAATGGTGCACCAAAGTCCCTATACATTTTTCGATTTGCACGAAATTTCGCACATCTTGCTGAATTAAGTCTACAATGATGTGCGCTAAGTTTCGTGAACATCGCTTCAGATTTAGATATAGCTCCCATATATATTTTCGTCCGATATAACGTAAATGGTGCACCAAAGTCCCTATATATCTTTCGATTTGCACGAAATTTAGTATGAAGTACCAAATTATGTCTACAATGATGTGTGCAAAGGTTCGTGAAAATCGTTAAAGATTTAGCTATAGCTCTCATATATATGTATATATATATATATATATACATATATTTTCGTCCTATTTTAGGTAAATTGTGCATCAAAGTCCCCATGTATCATTCGATTTACACGAAATTTCGCACAGCGTACTGAATTAAGTAAAGAATAAAGTGAGCTAAGTTTCGTGAAAATCGGTTCAGATTTAGATATAGCTCCCATATATAGTTTCGTCCGATTTAAAGTAAATAGTCAATGTTCCTTCGAAAAGGCGACGTCTGTTAGGATACATATGTTTAATATACCCAAAGTGGCGAAAGGGGGTCATATAGTCGGCCCAGTCCGACTTTAATTTCATACTCGTTTTTCTTTCCATTTTAATAAGCTGTAGATCTTCTTCGACCTGAAGGTGTATTCAATGTGATTGTAACGATTGCTGTATTTATATTCGCTATATTCTCCAAATTTTAGTGGATTTGGTGTCTGTTGTATTGAAATTATTATTTTTCAATATCTAAAATTAAATTTTCTTCGCCGAATTTTTGTTATTTTAAATTCAAATTCCTAAAATTTTCTATTTCTGTTATATATAATAAAATCACTCCAGATTATTATATTATTGAACAGTGTTACCCACAAACATGTCTTCAACAATGAAATCGATTAACGGCTTGAGTATTTATGCAGCTGAATAATGAGCCCCTGAAGGCTGCATAGATATTGCGAGATTAAAGAAACCAAATCCAATGAGAAAAAAACCCATAATAATGGAAATTATAATGAGGAAAAAATTTGAACTTCATGATTTCATTGTTCTATGCAGGTTTAAAATCTAATACAAAACAATTATTTATTTAAAGAGTCAACATTTTTCTAAAAATGTAAATATTTTATTTATTTAAAGCTATTAATTTTCAATAGGAAAAAAACCTAAAATGTGATACACTAGGTAACAAATTAAAAAAAAACAATATTTTCTTGGCAGCTAACTTTTAAATCGATATAAGAGATTCTAAAGATTTTTTATTAAAAATACATTCATTTTTCTCCAATGGCAATAGCGATCATCTACGAAGAAGATCTTTGAAAGAATTTCTATGTGTAACTAATTCTGATCCTCTAATATTAGATGACATCTTGTATGTTTTTTGGGCAAAATATTTTAGACATTTTTTTCATACAGACTTCCTGTGAAAAATTATCTGCGGAACACTTTTAAATCCCGTACATTTTTTTGTATTCTCTAGACACCCTATACAATTATTTATATTGTCCGACAACATTCTAAAGCTCTGTTGTAGTCTGAATAGATGGCCTCTATAGGCCTTCCATAGCTAAAAGATCTTTTAAAGGTTTCTTATAGCCGTTAGATTGGACTTTTATAAGCAGAAGAGCTTCTTTAGGTCCCTCATAGCTAGAAGATCTTCTATAGTTCGAAAACCTTCTAAAATCAGGAAATCTTCTATGGAAGAGCTTCTTTCGGTCCCTAGCAGCTAGAAGGTCTTTTACAGCTGGAAATTCTTAAAAAACAGGAGATTTTCCATGGGTTTTATACATAATAAAAATCTTCTAAAGGTCTGTTGTAGCTTGGAGGCATACACAATGTATTCTATTGCTAGAATATCTTCTAATAGTCGTCCATATACAGACTAGTCTGTATATCTCCCATCCATATCCTGTAGATACCTTAAAGACATTCATAGGACTTATATATAGATGGAGGATATTCTAGATGTCTACATATCTAGAAGTTATCTTTTTAGCAGGAAGTCCTTCTATATGTTATTTATAGATGGCATGTATAGGTCTTAAATAGGATGAAAATCGTTTATATGTTTTCTATAGCAAGAGCAATTATTGTACAAAACGGAAGAGCTTCTTTAGGTCCCCCATAGTTAAAAGATCTTCAATAGATATATGGTCCCTCATAACTAGAAGACTTTTTATAGATAGAAAATCTTCTAAAATCAGGAAATCTTCTATGGGTTTTATACATATCTGCTAAAGGTCTGTTGTAACTTGGAGGCTTGTCCTGGTCTTCTATTGGTAGAAAATCTTTGAAAGATCGCCATATACAAGACATTCATAGGACTTATATATAGATAGAGGATATTCTAGGTGTCTTCATATCTAGAAGTTATCTTTTTAGCAGCAGGTCCTTCTATATGTTATCTATAGATAGTTCCCTAATATATTTTGTACAAAACAGAAGACCTTCTTTCGGTCCCCCATAGCTAAAAGATCTTCTATGGATTTAATATAGTCTGAAAACCTTCTAAAGGTCCTTTTGGTCCTAGACCCACCTTTAAGTATACCGATCGTCATATCTCGACTAGCTGAGTTGATCTATACATGTGTGTCCGTCCGTTATCGGATCGGTTAATATTTAGGGGATGAAATGGACCAAATACTTATTTTTTATCGGTTTTTCTGGTCGCTCTAGAAGCCGCAATTATGGTCCGAACATTGCGAAATTTTACATGGAGAAGAGGATCGGGCCAAAGAATAAGCATGCCTGTATTGATAAAGATCGGTCAATATTTAGCGGGTCTAATGGACCCTGACGTTTGTGTGAAAAATGACAAAATTTGTATTCTGTGGCATATAGATTTACTCCTGAAGGACATAGACCCGAGAAGTTGATAGTGGTCGGCCTTTAAATTGATACCAATTATATGGTCGTATGTACTAGTAATATTCAGAAGAAAGAGGTGATCTTGACCTCTAGTTGGTCAGGGGGGGTGCAAATATCAAGAAATATTGCCCAGGCTCGGAATAAAAATTCTCAGAAAGTTAGATTTCCGTAGTAGCTATGGCCGGCCCCGTCCGAATATACTGCTCTGCTCACTGGTTTATAGTACAAAGACCATTTATTTATTTTCTGTATACGGTTGATCCTCAACAGGACCTCATATTGCTAGAAAACTTTTATAAGCCTTTTTTAAATAAATGCCTTTTTATGTGTAGTTGGATGCCTTTTTTTAGCTCTCTCAGAAGACCTCCTATTGCTAGAAAACATTTTATCGGTCATCTATAAATAAATGACCTTTTATTGGTCCCCTACAGTTAGAGGCCTTCTACGGAGATCTTCCATGGATATAAAAATCTTCTAAATATCTGTTGTAGCTTGGAGGTTCGCCCAAAGTCTTCTTCCATATGGATGAATTTAGGTCTTATGTATACAAGGAACCTTCTATAGGTTTCCCATAGATAGATGATATTCTAGGCATCTTCATATTTAAAATGTTTATGGTTAAAAGACCATTTATATATTTTTGTATATGATAGACCCTCTATAGACCTTCCATAGCTAGAAGACCTTTTATTGGTCACTTATAGTGATAAGACCTTATATAAATAGAAGTCCTTTTTAAGCTCCTAGAAAACATTTTATAGACCCTATATAAATAAATGACCTCTTATTGGTCCCCTATAGCTAGAGGCCTTATGAAATCAGGAGGCCACTTAAAAAACCATTTATATGTTTTCTGTATATGGTAGACCTTCTATAGACCTTCCATAGCTAGAAGACCTTTTATAGGTATAATGTAGAAATCAGACTTTATATTATTTTTGAGTCCCATAAAAGACTTCCTATAGTTAGAAAACCTTTTAAAGGCCATCTATAAAAAATATCTTCTAAAAGCAGGAAATCCACTATGGGTTTAAAATCCTTCAAATGTCTGTTGTAGCTTGAGGGTTG